CAGCTAGGAGAACTTCTGGTGTCAAGAATCTACTTGTGTCTTCAAGAGGAGTTTGCACAAGGGCTTATCTTTCTTTATAAATAAATTTACATACTTCTCCGCACTCTTTAGCTTCAATTCTTTTTTGAAAACGAGAACATGCTGACCAAGAATTTTCCTATCATCTGTGAGTTCGGAAAACATGCACAAAACTCCTTTTCTAGGTCAACGTAGATGTGAGTGCAATCTGTTGCACTTGTGTGTAAGAGCCGCAGGAAGAGAGTCTCCCGGAGCCCCTGGAGCTCGTCCCCAAGAGCGTTGCCTAGCTATTTGGTGCACGCAATGTGTATGCTTATGTCACAGCCTTCCTTAGACTAGCAAATACATATTTTTAATTTATTTAGTACAAGGCCTCACTACACAGTTCAGACTCAGTAATCCTCCTGTCTTAGCCTCCCCAGTGCTGGGATTACAGGCGTGCGCCACCACACCTGGTTTTGGGGCCAGCATGCTATGCCCTGGTCCAGGGTAGGGCACGGCAGAGCAGATAGTTCTTGATCTGAATACTTTTCCATGATAAAGCTATTTGATAGACACTAATCTAAGGACCAACACTATATGTCATTTTCGTAATATAGGGCAGAATAAGAGGTCCATCATCCTTCCAAGTGATAAATAAAAACACAGATTCTTTTGTAAACAGGCATTGTCAGTACATTTAAGAACCTTGGATCTTTGAAGGAAATAAACACAAATGACAAACTGAGTGGCGCACACGTGGCTTTATGACCCACATGCAAGCTGTCTCCGGGGGGCTCTTGTCCCAAGTGACTCTTGGCACTGGGTTTTTCAGTGTAATGTATCTGCAGCTCTCTGCTATTCAGCAGCCTTCTACATGAGCCAGCACGATTAAACTTCTCTTTGCCGTCAGGTACTCCCCGAGGGAAGACCCACATGGGCGTCTCTAGATTCTGCGGCTTGCTTCTCCTGATCAACTAAACCTACAGCCAGCCCAGCTATTCCCTCTTCTTTCCATTGTGCAGGATTTGATTGATACTAACAAGAGTCAGTATTTGCCAATCTGACTAACATTTCTCTGTGTGTGTTTATTGTTTTGATTTTGCTGAAGGATGATGTTAAGGAAAAGCAATATCGAAATCATGATCTAAATTTCTTTAACAAATCCAAGTCCCTTCCAGAGAAACACAGTTTTCCTTTGCTTTCCCTCCAAAGTCTTCCCAATGGAGTCTGAGCCCTGCTCTCTGCTCCCTGATCCCCTTTCTGTTGGATGAGCCACTCTCCCTTCTGACCCTCTTCTCCACACCCCAGGGGCTTGGTCTGGGAGTGCTGGACATCCTCCCTGAAGCTTCTGAAAGAGTCTTTCCTGCCACTGCTTCCTGCCCCTGCCCCTGTCCCCAGAATCTCCCCTGAGACCTCTGAACCTCTGACTGTGGGTCACTGGACTCCTGGGAAATCCCAAGGTCCTCTGAGATCCCTTTGCCTTATGCCTGCTAGGGGGCTGGTTCTCCTTCACCAGCCTTGGGCACCAGCAGGTCAGACAGGACCTCTGTCCTGCTGGACCTCGCTCACTCCAGCACCCTGAGGAGCCAGCAAGGTCCATTCAGGGGTGATGCACTTCCTTTGACCCACCCCCCACTACCTATGCTAAAGTGGCTCCATTCATGAGAGACATTAGGCGGGGCAGGGCCCTGATGACCAAGGAGTGAGGACTTGGTTCCAGTCTTGCGTAGAAAGCAGACAAAGCCATTTTCTTTCCATGTAATATAAATGTCACTGGAATAGTTTTTGAGGCTGCTTTGTTAGATATGCATAACAATGAGGTAAAAGTTGCAGCCCAACCTTGCTTCCTTCCCTTGTCTGGAATTCTGGGCCTTGGACTTGATATATATTTTTTTATTTGTTTCTCCCCTTCTTATTCTCTGTCTGGTCCAATCACACTCACTTAGAGTGAGAGCAGGTGGTCCACTGGCGTCATTACTAAATGTTGCGCACTCTGACTCTGAGGACCAATGCAGCATTGAAGGGGAAGTGCGTCTAACACATGCAGACATGACTTCAACCCTTCAAAATATTTCTGGGACAAATAGCATAAGCTGAGCATGTGCAAGGCACTCCGCAAAAGGGAAAGAGCCACGCTATCGGGTGTCTGGGTCCATCAGGAGTTTTCGGGTTTTTTGGCTGTGAGTTCCTGGGTGGCTGGCACTCCTAGGCGGGGCCCTCCTCCCTGTCACCGGAGTAGCTGGGGCTGCAGGCTCTATGCCTGCCTAGTGTGAGACTTTAAACGTTGCATTTTAATGTTTCATAATTTTTTTCTGTGGGGTCAGGGATATAGCTCAGCAGCATAAGTGCTTGCCTGGCAAGTGCAAGGTCCCAAGTTTGATCTCTGGCATCTCAAAAAAAAAAAAAAAAAAAAAAAAAAAGTGATAATTTTTTTCCTCAAAATGTCTATGCAGTACTTGCATGACAAAAAAACATACAGCAAGCTGAATGTAGCTTGGGCGCAGTCGTCAAAACAGTACTGTAGGGTGGACTGTGCCTGGCTAGATTCGGCACACCCCTGCCCAGGCCAGGAAACCCGCCAGCTGGCTGAATCGTGTGTATAGTTTGCAAATTTCCCATTGAAAAAACTCCTGCCTCTTCCCCATCTCCAGCTCCGGGGACCCGCAGCGCCTCTCAGGAGGATGAATCCCGCGGAGCACTGCGTTCTGATTGGTTGCCCCAGGCACTGGTTTACTTAGTTAGCACTGAGGCACTTGTGAGGTCCCCTAGCGGGAGGTTAGGGTCTTAGGAATGTGGGAAAACAGAGATGCCGGGGGTGGCGCACAAGGGGAACAGCCAGGGGGGCGCAGCAGGCTGCGTCCGGCCCGCATGGCCTCCTGTCTCCGGAGGACGTGAAGGCTGAGGGCACAGGAGCTCCGGGCAGACTGGGCTCGACCCACTGAATCCGGAAACCAGGGGAGCCCGGGTTTTCCCCGCTTCCCTGTTGCTGCCTCTCTCGGAACTCCGAGAGCCAACGCTAAGGGGCACTAGAGCCCCGGGCTGAAACCTCGGCGCGTTGCGGAAGTATCCGGCCAGAGCCGCAGCGGCAGCAGCGGCGGCAGCAGCAGCGGACGGGCCGGGCTGCGCCTGGCGACTAGGCGTCCTCCCGTCTCAGGGCAAGCCCTGCCCTCTCCCAATCCTCACGGGGCCCCGCATATCCCCAGGGTGGAACAGGGCGCACAAAGACGCCACACAGAGCTGCGGAGTGCGTGCGGCGGCCCTTGTGTCGCTCGGGGTCGAGACTCAGATGCCAACCCGCATCCCTGTCCCTCCACGCAATGCGATCAGGACAGGAGAGACCTGGACCCGGGGGGTGTCGCTGCTCTCTAATTGGGCTGGGAAACCGAGGCACAGCCAGAGGCAGCAAATGTCACCTTTGGAGTCCCCTCCTAGTCAGCTCCATTCAGAGTAGGTCGACCCGGGAAGGTGAGGTGCAGGTGCCCCTGGCCAGGGACCTCTGCTGGGACTGCTTCCTTGGGCTGGGGTCGTGCGGGACCTGGACAGAGGCGGCCTGAGCCCCACTTTCCCAGGGACTATGGAAAACAAAAAGGCTCACATAAGGAGAGGCAGGATCCCCAGCCAGGGGCTCCACTGTGTGTTGGGGTGTCTGTGTGGTAGGGCGCGTGCTCAGGCTGTGTTGGGGGTCTGTCTGTGGTGTACTGGGGTGCTCTCTGTGTTGGAGGGCCTGTGTATGAATTGGGGTATCTTGTGTTGGGTGTCTGTGTGTGCCTTGGAGGCCTGAATATATGGGCACCTGTGTGTATGTTGGGGTGCCTGTCTGTGTCTATTGGGTTCTTGTGTGTGTGTGTGTGTGTGTGTGTGTGTTGGGATGTGTGTGTGTGTGTGTGTGTGTGTGTTGGAGTGTCTGTGTATTGGAGTGCTTGTGTGTACTGGGGTGTCTGTGGCAGTGTATTGGGGTGTCTGTGCATTGAGGTGCATATGTGCATTGGGGTGTCTGAAAGTGTGCGTTGTAGTGTCTGATATTGGGGTGCTTTTGTGTATTGTGGTGTCTGGTGGTGTGGATTGGGGCGTCTGTGTGTGCATTGGGGTGCTTGTGTGCATTGGGGTGTTACATGTATTGGGGTCTCTGTGCGTGTGACCAAGTTTCCGTGTCTGTCTGCGTTGGGGTGCCCATGGGTGTGTGTTGGGGTGTCCGTGTGTGGATCGGGGCGCCTGTGCGCGCCCCCGCCCGCGCCCCTCTCCACTGCACCAGGACGGAGCGGCGGGCGGGGAGGCGATGACGCACCATCCCGCGCTCCCCCCAAAAGTGGCCGCACAGGACGAAGATGGCGGCGGCAACTTAGCGGGGAGGATGCCTGCGAGCCCGGGCGGCCCGGCGCAGGCTTCGCGGGCCCGAGGTCCGGGGGCGGCGGCCCAGGCTCGGGCCCCGGCGCGCGCCGACTAGGGCGGGAGGCGGAGGAGCGGAGACAGCGAGGAAGGAGGAGGAAGAGGCGAGGCGGCGGCGGCGGCGCGGGGAGGAGAGGAGGCGCTCTGGGCGCCGCCAGTGGGCAGCGGAGATCGCGGCGTGGCCCCGGCGGGGGACAGCGGGCTGCGCTCGGCGGGGCCATGGGGACCCGCGCGCTGACGATGCCGGGGTGAGAGCGCAGCTGGCCGGCGCCTCCACCACCATCACCCTCCTGCCTCAGCCTCACCACCGGCCAGCATCAGCCTCCGCCTCTCTCTCTCTCTCTCTCTCTCTCTCTCTCTCTCTCTCTCTCTCCTTTCTCTCTGCATTATTGTTTCCCACTCTACAGAGGATGGGGTCGGCTGGAGATTAGGTCGGAAGCAAGTCAGATCTTCCTCCAAAGCCTGGTAATATTTATGTAGAGAAAAAGAGAGAAAAGAGGGAGAAGAGGGAGAAGAGAGAGAGAGGAGAGGAGAGAGCAGAGACGAGAGAGAGAGAGAGAGAGAGAGAGAGAGAGAGAGAGAGAGAGAGAAGAAAGGGGAGGAGGGGAATAAGGAAATTCAACCCTCTAAGTCAATGCATATTGTGGTGACCCGACCCAGGAGCCCTCACGGTGGAGACGGCCAGGGCTGTGCGTTCCCAAAATATGACCAGCGGTGCTTGGATGTGTCGGCAGTATGACGACGGCTTAAAAATCTGGTTGGCGGCACCCCGGGAGAACGAGAAACCGTTCATCGATTCCGAGAGGGCTCAGAAATGGCGACTGTCTCTGGCATCTCTCCTGTTTTTCACAGTCCTGCTCTCTGATCACTTGTGGTTCTGCGCCGAGGCCAAACTGACCCGCACCCGGGACAAGGAGCATCACCAGCAGCAGCAGCAGCAGCAGCAGCAGCGCCAGCAGCAGCAGCAGCAGCAGCAGCAACAGCAGCAGCAGCAGCAGCAGCGCCGCCAGCAGCAGCAGCGTCCGCGGCAGCAGGAGCCCTCCTGGCCTGCGCTCCTGGCCGGCATGGGGGAGTCCGCGCCCGCCGCCCAGGCGCACCGGCTCCTCTCCGCCTCCGCGTCCCCCACCCTGCCCCCTTCCCCGGGCGGCGGCGGCGGCGGCGGCGGCGGCCGAGGCAGGAGACCCCGGAGTAAGCCTCTTTTTCTAGGAAACTCAGCCAAGCCCGTGTGGCGCCTGGAGACTTGCTACCCCCAGGGCGCGTCCTCCGGCCAGTGCTTCACGGTGGACAGCGCGGACGCCGTGTGCGCCAGGAACTGGAGTCGAGGGGCGGCGGCCGCGGGGGAGGAGGAGCGGCGGGCGGGGGGCCCGAGAGCGTCTCAGCTCTGGAACTTGTCGGATTTTTACCTTTCGTTTTGTAATTCCTACACACTTTGGGAGTTGTTCTCGGGTCTGTCCAGTCCCAACACTTTGAACTGCAGTCTGGATGTGGTGCTCACGGAAGGCGGGGAGATGGCCACATGCAGGCAGTGCGTCGAAGCGTACCAAGACTACGACCACCACGCTCAGGAGAAGTACGAAGAGTTTGAGAGCGTGCTCCATAAGTACTTGCAGTCGGAGGAATACTCAGTGAAGTCGTGTCCTGAAGACTGTAAGGTAGGAGTGGTGGACGCTGTCCCTGTCCTGCACTTCTTGGCCTCTCTTTGCTGAGTCGAGGTGTCTGCCAGTGTTGCAGTTTTATTTATTATTTATGTATTTATTTGCTCCGGTTTGGGTACTTGGATGGTTGCTGCTCTGGTTGATGAGAGCTTGACTCACTGCTTGGTGGAGTACCTGGCCGATTGCTGGGGGACACCGATGCCTTCTTGTAGGAATCCTTGGGAGGTCAGGGGAGCCCTGGTCTTTGGAGATAGCAGAAGTGGTGCTTTCACCGTTTCTTACAGCTATTGCATTGGCTGCAACTCGGTTATGCACAGGTGACATAAAATGGAATGGCAGGAAGGCAAACTGGTGACCACAGGTAACCAGATGAGTCAGATAGGCATGTAGGGTCTGAAGTGTCCACCTGCATGCTGACCCCCCTCCAATAGTCACATCGTGAAATTGATCTAACAGAAGGGGAAGCAAAGGTGGAATTGCTTCTGTAGGGAAAACAGCAAATCCTACATGTGTTAGGGGTTCATTGCTGCCTTATTGGGACATCTGGGGGCTTATCCAAGTATATGTACTCCCTTAAGTCTCCTGTTTTCTTAGGCCTTGGTGTAATTATTGATCTGAGGTTCATAGGTGGAAAGTTATAATTAGGTTTCCACTGAGAGCAAGGGTAGGTTATTTATTAGACAAACCTTATGTAATTTGGATTTTTCAAGACACTCTTCAGAAGTACTAAATGGCAAGTCTTAGAGGCCATGATTAACGTTTACTGAAATATGTCCTATTTATAATTTAGCAAAGTGGAGGGCTAGGCAGGTAATGGGGCGGGGTCGCTGTCCGTGGTGCTGAAAGGGGCTATGCTGAGGAAATGTGAAGAAGCTGCAGTCACCTTTAACAGGCAATGATGACAGAATCTCTGGAAGCCTCAGTGTCCCCCCCGCCCCCAAGGATAATTGCTTAAACAACACAATGAAGTAATATTGACTTTCAGAGGGAATAAGAAGCCACACTCTGTTCTCTTCCCTACTTTCCTAAACTTCCCAACAAACAGAAGAATCGCCCCTTTGCCTCCCTTGGAAAGTGCAGTCAAAGGCAGCAAAAATCGGATCAATGCGAGTTTGACAGAGATTGACCAGAGGACTTTTATTTTAAGTGAACACAATTTAAGAGCCTCGTTTTGCTTTGGGTCAGTCATGGTTTGAAAGTAAAGCTGAACTCATTTGGACCTTGTTCTATCATCACTCTTTAAGGCTAGAAGCATACCTCTTCAAAAACAATAACTAACTGTATGCCACTGAGGATGCTATTTCCCTAGATACGTGCGTCTTAAACTTCTCTATCTGTTTTTTAGACAATTAGCACTGTAACTCACTTCTCAGAATTAAACTCAGTCATAATGGTAGGAATTAGTGATGCATGATTAGTGTAATAGTGCATTATTGTGTAAGTATTTCATTAAGATATACTGCACTGAAAACATCATTTGAAGAACTGTTGCTGAGAATGCCACCACAGAAATCATGAAGTTTTATGTATTTGTGTTTAAGAGTGGGACCTTGTAATAGATTTGAAGTGACCTGATGCTTTGAATATAAACCCCATAGAAATTTCTAGTAATTTCACTTCATAATTCAGCGTTCAAAAGCCCTTGTCCTCAGTAGACTGCACCATGATTTCAAAAAAGTGTGTCAAGTTTATCTTTTTTAAAATGTCCACATAAATGCATTACAGTGTTTCTTTTTTTCTTGCTCTAAACTATTTTTGAACTTGATGCTTATATCATCATAAATATAAAGAAGGATAGAAATAATATTTATGTTATAGATGATTTCAGCATTATCTTTTCATAAAGCAGGAGCTAACAAAAGCATGCTATAAAATATTAACTTTTAAAATTTCTTCATAATTGCAAAGTATATATACATATGCTTTAGTTTTCTCAGAACCTCAACATTAGTATATTGTTTATGATTTCTTATAGATATTCTTTGGCTGTAGTGATTTTTGTTTTGCTATTATGGTTTGCCTATTGGCAACATTTGTTACATGGTAATTATTTTTAACAATATAATGTCAAATTTAAAGGACTGGTGTTCTTGTCTTAAGATCATAGACCAATGGGGTTTATGCAGAAATATGCTAGAACAAGCATCAGTTTGTTAATTTAGTATGGCATTTCTCTATGACTGTAAAAAATCTACAAATATATATGAATATAAACCTCAGCATTTAGATAGTTTAAAATGGCACTTGCTGTCTTTGAAGATTATATTTGAGCTTCTTTACATACTTATATTCATTTCAAACATTATTCTAACTATGAAACGACTATTGTGAGGAATTGTGCTCAAGCTCCTGTGGGGATGGGAGTGCAGTTCAGTAAAGCCTTGTGTGACACCCTTGACTTAAGCCCTAGCAACACACACACACACACACACACACACACACACACACACGCTTGCATGTACACACACATGCATGCGCACTATATATCTTATAACATATAACAGCATACATAATGCAAATTTTTTCCATTTTTAAAGGCAGCTATGAAATCATGGGGTATATTACAAGTAAATATGTTACATTTCTGTAGTTGATATATTAGTGAGAAATCAAATGTTAGTAATTTATATGGTAAGTATATTTATCAAAATTACAGATAATACTTATAAATTCATGTTAGTGTCATGACTTCAGTGGTATTAGTAGTTTCAAAAAATATATTGACTTTTTAAATACTGTGTATCATTAAATAATTAACTGCTGTGCTTTTTAGTTAGAATGTATTATTACTGTCTAATTTTGTATTTTCTCAACATTAAGAAAGGTCACATATTAAATATTTACCATATGAAGATAGATTACATTTACTTTTGATTTAAATTGCTCTAAAACTATTTTGCCAATTTTTAAAAAAATCATAAAATATATTTAACAGAATTCTAATGTCTTCAGTACACAGTATTTGGAGGCCAAATATAGCTGATTTGCTTTGGCCAGTCTTTCTTTTGTAATGTATCATATGAATATCCTACCCAAGAACATTGTAAAAAATAGTTGATTTAATTTTTTAAATAAAATACTCACATTTGTAGACAAGTAAATGATAAAAACCTGTTGCATATGGGATTTGGTATACGGCATTTCAATTGCTCTGTCGTGTAAACTGGGGAGCACACTTGTGGCTGTAGGGTTTTCCTGAGGGAGCAGTGTTATTCCGACCTCGGGTCTTTGAGTCTGCCGAGTCTGCCAGGGTCTTTAAATCGGCAAGTATAGTAAAAGCCAAGTAGTTTAAGTCATAACGTGTATTATTTTTATGCTTGATTTTTTATATCAATGTGTATTATTTTTATGCTTGATTTTTTTTCCTTAAAGAGTGTTATCTTACATATACCAAACTTCAGACCAGTTGTGCAAATAAGTATTGTGAAAATCAGCTATTTCAGGAATGTGGATTCTTGTGTTACAGATGGGCTTCTGTGGCTGCTGCTGCCTCTCTTTACTGATTGGACTTTCAAGCCATTAGTGGCTGAACATGGATTTAACATGAGATTCCAGCACGGGTTATTGCACCATCTGTATTTACATTATCTCAGCGTAAATGTTAATCTGCATATCCCTGAAATGCATGCATCGTCATATGTTATATTTTTATAACCTCTTCTTAAAGCTGGCTAGGTATATATCTGGCTTATTTGTGCTTCGCTGAGTCCAGCCACAAGGAAACCCCATGAACATTGGGTCTCTGGGCACTTCATTGTGTATGAGGGTTATTTCATTTTTGAGACACTGTTTCCAACATTCCTCAATTTAAGAACATAGAATTTGGGTTACATAACATGTGATTTGCAAAGAACCCATTTCTTAATTCTTACTAATTTTAGTGTTACGGTCTGTATATTCAAAAAGAAGTAGTAGTTTAAAAGAAAATCAAATACCTAACAATTCTGTCCATTCAAACTTTGAAGCTAAAATATTATTTTTCTCTCTGTAAGTACTATTGCACATATTATATCATTATCCATAAATGTGCAATCTATAAATAGATCTTTTTCTTATTTTGTCACTTTGTTATTTTCAAATTATGCTTGCGGTTGAATGATTCTCTACAGAACCAAACAGTCTCTTCAGGCCGTTGATGATTTTAATCACTAATAAGGTTATTTATCAGGCCAAAGACTTGAGCGTAGTAACTCCCATGCCTCAGATTTGTGTTTTTTGCATATTGTCCCTCTATACAACTGCTGACTTATAATCTGTGTTGTGTTTTTATGGGGAAATAGATTCTGTCTCCATATATTAGAGACCTTCTGTATTATAGGCCAAAGAATAGGTGCTCTTACTTTGGACTTGTCACTGGTAGAATGAGCAGCTGCAGGGCACAGCCTAAGTGCTGATCTATGTGGTGTTAATCACCTTTATCAGACATGGTGTGTGCCTGTGTGGGCAAGGTGAACGAAGGGGAAGAAGGCCAGCAGAGCTCTGTGTCTCACCCACCATGCCTGTAAATCATAATCCATTAAGATACTCCTTGTTAGATTTAATGTGGAAGAGCAAATAGATAGACAATTGCTTCAGGGAAAAGAGCATTTTGATATGAAAGATTTGGCTTGTGGCTGTCCTTTTATTCTCATTTTCTGAAGATTGCTATAAAACTGTCTTCATCTCCTGTGTCAGTCTCACAACAACTAAGAGCCAGATATTTTGTTTATTTTCATTTATATTGAAAATACATTCTTCAGCACAGTGATCAGCTCTGCTCCATAGTGGTACTCAGGTCTCTGTGGGTGATCCTAGGAACCTTGTAAACCTCCAGGCCTGGGCGGCGCCAGGGCTCCAAGATCCCAATGTCATTGGCTTGGCTTTTGTCATAGGTCTGGCCTCTGCAGAGCTGGCCCACTGACGCAGACCTACAGCTGGGCTGGGAACCAGCATTCCAATTTTGTCATGGTAATCCTCAATGTGGCCTCTTGCCCCTGATAAGATTGGAGCTTAGGTAG